TTCTTTCTTTCTTTCTTTCCTTCCTTCTTCCTTCCTTCCTTCCTTCCTTCCTTCCTTCCTTCCTTCCTTCCTTCCTTCCTCCCTCCCTCCCTCCCTTCCTTTCTTCCTTCCTTTTCTTTTTCTCGAGCCTTCATGTGTGGACTCAAGGTATCCATTTTGCAGGGTTTCTGTAATGACTCGCGTCGTAGGTAGACTTAGTTAGCCTAGCGCCATCCACACGGTAGCTGGTTATTCCTTCGTACATATTATTCTTCGCACCGAAGACATGAGTAAAGCCATTCGCCACGGGCACAGTGATTCGTTGCAGTCCTTTCACTATGCCCTTACTCTCTACCCTGGAAGAACGGAGCGCGACGCAAACACGCACGTTCAAGGGATGGATATAATCGAGACGTTTCGCTGCTTGATGCATATTTGACCAGTTGGGTTTCTCCTGCTCCTGGGCTGACTCAGCTTCTCTCCTGTCTCTCTCAGTCTCTGCCTTTCTTGTCTGCGGCCTCGGTCTGGCGTTCCTTGGATGCCCATCCTATATAATAAAAGGCCAACATGCAAATCGACTGAACAGCGGAATGACCGGTCGCTGTGACATGCACTGACCACTAGGGGGCAGATGCTCAATGCAGGAGCTGCCCCCTGGTGGTTGGTGCGCTCCCACAGGGGAGCTCTGTTCAGCCAGAAGCCAGGCTCACGGTTGGGGAGCAGAGTGGCGGTGCCGGGAGCCTCTCCGCTTCCATGGCAACGCTAAGGATGTCCGACTGATGGCTCCCGGACTGCGAGAGGGCACAGGCCAGGCTGAGGGACCGCCCCCCTCCCCCGCGAGTGCACGAATTGCATGCACTGGGCCTCTAGTTAGTGTATAAGGAGCCAAGACCCCAAAAAGGGACGCTGATATTCTGTGGTGACCAGCGGGCTTGCAGATCACAGGCCTTCCTTCCCAAATGGCACAAAGTCAGAAAGGCATTCCGGCTCATGGGGTCTACGAGAGGAACGCCGTGTCCACAGATGCAGCGTGCTCTGTTCCTATGCGCGTCGAAGTGTCCAAAACGACCACCTGTCATATCCGTGGGATCCCGGGCATGAGGACAACACAACCAACCTTTTCCCATAAACAGGAGGTAGAGGATTGTCATCGGACACCCTGTCCTCTGCGTCTAACGCTTCCGGGGCCTGTGACTGCACCGCGCACCCACCTCTTTCAGTCTCGCGGTCATTCCCTACGAAGTAGGAAAACGCGTGGCCGACGCATGGGCTGGTGGGATGTTTACATGCAGAACCGCAGGGGGAGAGATTTGCATCTGCCGGGTACATGATAACGCTGCTATAATAGTGTATTATTATCATATTTCACTGATAAACCAGCAGGGGGTTGCGGGGGGAGGGAAGACCGGTTCTCTGGCTTTCTGAAGCCCAGATAAGAGCTGGTCGCTTGCCCAGAGCACTCACTGCATGAATACTTAGTCATTGCATGTGGCATGTTGGGCCGGCTGTCTGCGGACCATCGATCAGGTTTACGGAGTGCGTAAAAGTGGATCCCTTTCCTTTATTTATTTTTATATATTTTATTGATTTTTTACAGAGAGGAGAGGAGAGGGATAGAGAGATAGAAACACTGACGAGAGAGAAACATCCATCAGCCGCCTCCTGCACACCCTCTACTGGGGATGTGCCCGCAACCACATGCCCTTGACCGGAATCGAACCTGGGACCCTTCAGTCCGCAGGCCGATGCTCTATCCACTGAGACAAACCAGTTCAGGCCCTTTCCTTTGACTTATGTCTTGGATTCTTATGGCGTGCCTTCTGAGCAAGGAAACCTGTGCATATCTGTTTTTAGCTGGTCCTTGATTTTTGTCTTGATTTGCTTTTTGCATTATTTCTAATCCTCCCCCAAGAATATTTTCCCACTGATTTTTAGGGAGAGCGGAAAGGAGAGGGAGAGACAGAGAGAAACATCGATGTGAGAGAAACACATCGATGGGTTGCCTCCTGCACGCGACCTCACCAGGGCCGGGGCCCGGGAGGAGCCAGCAACTGAGGTCCGCACCCTTGACGGGAATCGAACCCAGACCCTCCGGTCCGCAGGCCGACGCTCCATCCACTGAGCCACACCGGCCAGGGCCCTTTCCGCATTTTTTTTCATGGGAGATGCTGAGAACCAGCATTTATTTCATCTGTGTCACCCCACCCCTCTGACCTCGTGCTTTCCTTAGATCTGTCGAACCCGACAGGCTTAAACCCCCTGGGAATGGCATTCCGTTTCTCTCTTGGACGGGGCGGGGCGGGGCGGGAAGGTGGTATTGAAGGGCCGAGGGCATCTTTTGAAATGCCATCATCACTGGGAGGAATCCCCGTGTTCGCTGAAGTCTGTGATGGGGACTCGGGGCCTGCCTTCCAGGTGGCTTTGAATTAAGAGGCGCTGGAACGTTCCGAGCTGTAAACGAAGCATAGTGGGCGAGGTGAGCTCAGTCCCGGACGTGTGTCAGGACAACGCAGCGTTTGCGGATCAGGCGCCCTGTTACCCGCATTTTCATCTGTAACTGCACAGCCCTCATCAATTCTGCTGGCGATTCTAATTGTCAGCAGCTAGAGGGGCTGGCGAATGACTGACGGATTTTTGGTGTGATGGCGCCACCTACTGGAATAGGTTAGGTATTCCTTGGTCTAAATGAAAACCCAGCACATATATATATATATTTTTTTGAGATAGCTTCCTTTTTTTTTATTTTAAATATATGTTATTGATTTTTTTCACAGAGAGGAAGGGAGAGGGATAGAGAGTTAGCAACATCGATGAGAGAGAAACATCGATCAGCTGCCTCCCGCACGCCCCCTACTGGAGATGTGCCCGCAACCACCTTGACAGGAATCGAACCCGGGACCCTTCAGTCCGCAGGCCGACGCTCTACCCACTGAGCCAAACCGGTTAGGGCCACATGTTCTTTTTTTCTTTTTTAAAGTCCCTAGAAGAGTTGCCGAAGGATAATATATAAAAACACCAAGTTTATTCCCGCACTCTGTGTTATTAAATCTTTCGGTGCGATTACAGAAGGTCGGAGAGCGTTCAATACGGCTCATACTGTTAGAGACACGGATGCCGTCTCTTTATTACCGCACAGCTGGAATTCACGCTCCTCGTTGGAGACCTGCAGTTACTTTTTATATTAAAAAAAAAAACAAAAACTAAATTTTTAAAAAAATATGTAGTTCAGTGGCTATGGCTTATCGAAGTCGAGTTGCTGTTTCGCATCACGTTACCGGAGCCCCTGAATCTTACCTCCAGGTGCCGGCTTCACTTTGGGAGTGGCTTGCATTTTTTTTTTTTAAAAAAATATAATTATTTTAGGGTGCTTCTGCAATGTTGAGTGCCTCAGTAATTTGCATACGTCTGTATGGGGTGACTCAGTGTCATACAGATGTGACTGTGATAAAGATTTTGCAACTGTGAGAACAAGCCACTTAAGTCCTAAACTGGGATGCGGGGTGTGTGTGTGTGTGTGTGTGTGTGTGTGTGTGTGTGTGAGATTTACTCTGTGAAGAAAACGAAATAAAAAGTAGAATAGGCTCCAGTGCTTTGACATAGCTCGGTGGAGGAAGTCAGAGTCGGGGTCTGAGATAAATGCGTGTGAAAGAAAATGCATATTCGCCGGAGAAGCCCTTAGGGGAAGTCGCCATAAACACAGAAGAAAGGAAAATGGGATTTATCTTTATATATTGTTTCCCCCAGGGGCTGCGTTTCATTGCCTTAGAGATTCGAGGGCGTGGAGAAATGTTGACTATAGAGGCATGGCAGCCAGAAATATAGATGTAACTGTAGATAGAACTATAGATATGGATAGAGATAATATGGATAAAGGTAGAGATATATGGGTATATGGGTAAAGGTAGAGATGGGTAAAGGTAGAGATATGCAGATAACGAGCTATCCTGTTCTCTCGCCCTCCTTTTCAAAATGTGCATTAAGATAACGTCACAGCACGTGTTTCCTTATAACGACGCATCGCGTTGTAACCAGTTGGCATCCTCTTCGCATCCCGGAGGCAGGCACTGAGGGCCTGTGGGCTGACGCCGTGTCTACGGGGCGGGAGCACTTCTGGTCCATTTCCTCTCGCCGTCACAGCTCTGATGTTGAAAAAGGAACAGCGTCCTCATGGCCCCGGCTTTCTTGTTCTCGTTTCCATCGTAAAGACGTGGCGGATTTCCATTCCTTCTTACAAAGCGCTCCCTCCGTGGTGTGGTGGGGGTCAGCCAGACCCACCAAGCGCAGTGGTCTGTGGAGTTCGCGATGGAGCCGGGACGGGCAACGGGGCACATTCCCTTCTTCGCTGCCATCAAACCTACCATCAGGTTTCTCCTCCTCGTCCCAGAGCCAACGGCGGGCGTCCCTCCGGGGAAATCCAACCTCCTCGCGTGGCCTGGTGCCTCAGTTACTCTCCGGCGTTTTTATGCTTGGTGTTGGTCTAAATTCCATACTGCACTGAGCTGATGTGGGGCAGGGAACCGCTCCTTCCTGGTCATATGACATCCCTAGAAGGTGGCACACTGTCTAGCGCACAGTAGGGACTCAATAACTAATCATCACCCCTCCGCCCGCCCCTGCCCCAAATAAATGATGCATTGAGGAGAAACTCGCCCAGGTCTTTCGCAGGCTTGCGATGAATCCCAATAGTTCCCTTTATCCTATTATTTTTCTTCTTTTACCTGAGAATTCAAAAACATAGAGCATAGTTTTGACAGACTTGGGCTTTGTAAAGAGGACGTTAAGAGAAGGGATGGGGTTTCATTGGGGTTAAAGGTGCTGAAAATTGCCATTTTTGTGAATGTTAACTGACGGAGATTTTATATGTATGATATATATATATATATATATATATATATATATACACACACATATGCGCACACATGTCCATATAGAGACATATATGTATACATCTAACTAATACTTACATACGTATGTATGAAGTCTGAGACTTTCTGAGGATGTTTTTTTTTTCTTTTTTGCAGGAACTGACCAACCTGCTACTACTACTACCACTGGTAAGAGGGCATCTTTCCATCTTGCTGATTTTATTTTGTTGTTGCCAAGTTTATATACTTAACGCTGGCAGAGTTTTTCCGTCACTACCCGATGGGATCCCTGTGTGAGGGCGCCCTTTCAGGAACTGACCGTTCTCCTGTTCCTCACACGCCTGCTCAGAAGATAGGGCATTGGGGAACCTCCCGCACACATGGCTATCTGTGCGTATCATCGCGTGTAAAGTACAGCCTTTCTTAAACTCGGGGCAGGGTTCCAATCTCTTTTAAAAGGTCAGCACGCCAAAGAAATCGAGTCCGATCACGAAGCGTTACAGTTAAAGACAGGGTAAGGAATTCCCTGAGACAATGAGAGAGAATTTTAAAACAAAATCATACGTAAGGCATAGATTCCGTCCAGAGAAACACTTTGAGACTTTCCGGGCATTTTGTACTAATTATTTCCAAACTCGACGGTCGCACCTGAATTTTGTCTTGACAAGCATCCTGAGCCTCGGACAAGTTCCATTTAAGTCACGTAGCGGCTGAAAATAAATGCGCACCTACTGCGTGCCAAATGAGAGCGAAACCTCAGGTTGCATTTGGGGAAAAATAAATGTGCACCTACTGCGTGCCAAATCAGAGAGAAACCTCAGGTTGCATTTGGGGAAAAGGAAATCACTCCCCTTAAGTGTTACCGTTATTGAAAATGCGCCATTGATTCCCCGATCCATTGTGCGGCGGGCGGTTCGAATGAAGAAGGTGAGTCAAGCTCTGACACGCGTCAGCCTCGTCTCGTAAGGTGGCGTGGGCACGGGCACGCGCGTGGCTCTGTGTTGCTTACACAGCCCGGGGACGGGGAAGTCGCTGGACTCCCGTGCGAGGAGGTCTCGGGGCCTGGCTCACCTGTTGATTTTCTCCTCCTCCGTTTCCCACGGTATCACAGTTCCGAACTCGACAGGGATGCCCGAGGCTCAGCCCACAACTTCCCACTCACCCGCCAGCACCACGCAACTCTCACCCGCAAGCACCTCCGAGCCGGAGAGCAGCAGCCCCCCGACGACCACGCCAGCGCCTAGTATCGGGGCTCCTCCCGTAGGGACACCCGTGGGCCCCCAGAAAAATGCCAGTCAGACGGACGTGGCAGGTTGGCACCCATGTCACCTAAGACGGGTGGAGGGGAACTTGTCTTTTTTTAAATTTTTTATTAATTGATTTTAAAGAGAGAGGAAGGGAGAGGGAGAGTGAGAAACATCCATGATGAGAGAGACTCATCGATCGGCTGCCTGCCTCCTGCACACCCCACACCGGGGATCGAGCCCACAACCCGGGCCTGTGCCCTGACCGGGAATCCAACCGTGACCTCCTGGTTCCTAGGTCGATGCTCAGCCACTGAGCCACACCTGCCAGGCCATTTGTATAATTTTTAAAAAATTAACTAAAATAATTCCATTCGGGCAGACACGGGGTTAGCAGGTTGGGTCAGTTCAGAATCGGGCTGGCGATGGGAGCCGTGGGCGCCGTGCCCACCCCTGGCCTGTGTCCGCCCCCTGCGTGGGGGACGCTGATTGATGGCATGTGTCCCTTTCTCCCCGTAGGACCCACCTCCACGCAGCTGACTCTCCTTCCCACAGACACGCAGGCACCCAGCACGGCCCCCCCGGCCTCACGCATCCATGCTCCGGGCGGCAATGGCACAGCAGGTGGGCGGGTTCTCACGTGGGGGCACGTGCAGAGGTGTGAGAGCCGCCCATGTGGAAGGACGGGGTGCGGGGACGCCTCCGCCTGCTCCAGGGGGAGGTGGCCTCGGACGCAGTGGGGCGCCCTCTCCTCGATGGGTGTCGCCGGGGGTGGGATTCTCAAGATCTGAGCCGTGCCCACGGGGACCGCGTGATCTTTATTTGGGTGGAATGACACCCCGAGTCCAGTCCTGGCGAAGCGTAGCTGGGGTTTCGGGCAGCGAGAGGCGAAGCCAGTGGCCGGATGCCCTTTCCCCGTGGGAGACGGTCCCGTTCAGCATCCGGCTGGCTGTAGGCCCTGAGCCCATTGTGCGTGGGGTTCGTGTGGCTATGGGCCACGTGGGCGGGTGCCAGGAGGCCAGGCGTGAGCCGTGAGCCACGCGTGCCAAGAGGAACCAAGAGGGTAAGAGAGTGTAAGAGCGGGCGTCTGTTCAGGGATGTGAGGGTCCCCAGTCTTCACCAGCTTGCAGTGGCCAATGACCTTTGTTCTCAGGTGTGACTGACAGTGAGCACCTTCCTTAGTCCCGCCCCTGTCCCCCCTCACCCTCCCCCCACTTTACTGTCTGTCTCCCCTTTGTTGGACCCCTGGGGAGTGTAAAGTTGCAGCTTCCCGGTGAAGCTGCCCAAATGGCAGGCATCTATAGCTAGCCTTCCCTTGGCTCTTGTCCTGTTACTTTTTATTTTATTTTTAATATATTTTTATTGATGTCAGAGAGGAAGGGAGAGGGAGAGAGAAACATTGATGAGGAGAGAGGATCATGGACCGGCTGCCTCCTGCACGCCCCACACTGAGGATCGAGAAAGCAAGCCGGGCCTGTGCCCTGACCGGGAACCGAACCCTGACCTCCTGGTTCACAGGTCGACGCTCAACCGCTGAGCCACACCGGCCGGGCCAGGTTCCTTTAAAATGTGGGCTCTGGCGATGAAGCACCTAGATTCCGAGTCGCCAGCCCTGACGCCCGTCCCTCCCGCAGCCTGGCGGGGCCTCCTCGCTGGACAGAAGGCGTCTATTGCGGGCCCACAGGAGGGATGGGTGGCTGGCAGCGTGGCTCAGTCTCATGCATCCCGGCCACGCCGGCTGCCTGGCCCCTGGGGGGGCGGCAGGGCCTGGGGACAGAGCTGACGGCCGTTCTGATTGCAGGTGCCCCGAAAGCGCCGGCCCCTTCCGGCACCTCTCCTGCAGACACCATGGTGGTCACGGCCACAGCCACCGCCAGCCCCGCACTCAGCAACCACACTGACTCACCCACACGCACCTCCAACAGCACCAGCAACTCCTCAGGTCGGACCGCGGCGCCAGGGGTGGGGGTCGGGGGGTCTGGGCTACGGATAATGAATCGGACACTTAACCTTGAACGCAGCTCCGTGTGTCACGCCGGAGACTGCGGGCCGGTTCCCGCGTCACGCGTGTTTGCGTGTTGATACGGAACGTTAGGCAAAGGAAACTCCCGCCAGGCAGCTTTTTTCCGGGCCTGTTTTTCTATTTTCTTCTTCTTGTTATGAAAGTTCATGGCAGAGAAGGAAGGTGAGAGCCTCGCGGGTCGTGTAGGCCCCGGAAGCAAATCCAGCCTCTTCGACCTGCGTAGCCGACTTCGGCACAGGGGACTGGTCCTTTCTGTGTCTCAGTGTTCCCGTCTGTAAAATGGGCACAATGGTGCTCGTTTTCTTCTTATAGGACGGAGGGTGTAAAACGCCTGGCAGGGCATGGGAAGCACCAGAGGGTAACGGGCATCCTGATTAGTAATTGTAGCGGAGGTGGAGGGAGGAGGCTGAGGGTCGCACACCAGGTAGGAACGCCAGCCAGCAATGAATTCCTGGCTCTCAACTTACACGATGCTGCGTTCCGATTATGGGGACTGTCAGTTCTCTCTCTTTTTTTTTTAAAAAAAATGTTTTTATTGATTTCAGAGAGGAAGGGAGAGGGAGATAGAAACATCCATGAGGAGAGAGAATCATGGATCGGCTGCCTCCTGCACGCCCCACACTGGGGATGGAGCCCACAACACGGGCATGTGTCCCGACTGGGAATTGAACCGTGACCTCCTGGTTCCTAGGTCGAGGCTCAACCCCTGAGCCACGCCGGCCCGGCAGGACTGTTAGTTCTCTTAAAGGTCCATGTGTAGATACATTTGGTCCATGATCTTAATTGGAAAATAAGCGAGCATCAAGTCATAAGGGCCCCCCTCTCGCAAAGATGGGGTGCCTAGGAGACCCCTCCCTGCTGAAGAGTCTTCGCCCCTCGCCCTGCAACCTGGCAAACGCGTTAACGTTCACTCTTCTGTTCGTCTCCTTGCAGGTTTGGCCCCCACAACCCACCCAACAACACCCACTCAGCGCCTTACAACAAGCCTCACCTTCCCTACCACCACCGCAGGTGACAGCCTCACCCCCAGTCACGCAGCCACGGCACCCGCACTCGCCCAGGACGCGCTCACGGGAGGGCCCTTCCGTTGAGGGGTTCAATGGAGGGTCGTAGACCCGAGGGCGGGAATGGCAGCAGATGAGGCCGGGGAAGGGTGTATAGAATTCGGAGGATGCAATAACCTATTGTGTCCCTGTAGTAGCATCCCCCAGGAGTCGTGTTCCTGATGAACATGTCTGCAAACAGATGAAGGCCTCTTTAAGCGTAGGGTGAGGTATGGGCGTGAGAAAAAAACAATTTCATCAATGAGCTGGGCGTTCCAGGTGATGGGTGGTGGAGGCGTGAGCTCCAGCCACACAGCCTGGGCTGTGGGCAGAGGCAGGACCTCCAGGGTACAGTGGGCTGGCCGCCGAGGGGGGGCCTGTCCGTAATCACCGGGGTCGAGCCTGCGAAACCACCGCCTCCCACCGATTCTTCAGCTCAAAGACCCCACCAAGCACATTCCCACCCGGTCCTGCTTGATCCTTCATTCACACGAGATGCGTCTCAATTGGTTGAGAGAGCGACTGATTGCAAAGAGCTTGCCACGGCCGAGCTGGAGAATGAAGCCACCCTTGCCTAGTTTCTGACTCCCCCTCCCCCCCACAACAAACGTGTCCAGAGGCTATCTCTCTATATAAAAGGCTAATATGCAAAGTGTCCCTGCGGGAGTTTGACCGGGAGACCGGGAGTTTGCTCGCTCCCTCGCTATGACGTGCGCTGACCACCAGGGGGTGGCACAGAATGAAGGAAGGCCCCGATCAACCCTGATTGCTGGCCAGGCCTAGGGACCCTACCTGTGCATGAATTTCGTGCACCAGGCCCCTAGTGATGATGTAACTCTACTTGGCGATAAGTCAAGGGATGAGGCCCTTGAGTATGTTTGGGCTGTGTGTCGCCATGTCACAGTGACACGTGTGCCCGAGAACGTTTTAATAGTAATGTGATCGCAGTGGTGGTGATAATTGGGTGGATGCACGGAAGCGTGTTAGGGAACCCGCTCTTTTTCGTTGATCGCATCTGAACATTTTGAGCTCAATCACGGTCCTACGTGCTTCGAATCTGGTGGGATCCGTGAGCCCTAACTCGGTAGATTCTGCAGGACCCCCATCCCGGCCCCCGAGTGACTGTAGTGGAGAAATTCTAACATGAATGTGTGTTTTTTTCTTCCTCTATTACAGCTCCTACGACAACAAAGCAACCATGTGGTAAGTGCGTTCCCCGGGGAGAGCTGTGCCACTTCCGAAAAGCACTTTAATGGTTTTCTTCTTTGGGCCACGCTTGCAAGAACCCCAGGGGTGATTCTCTCCAAATCTTAAGAGCCAGCATCCTTGGGGGGAAAGGGGCCGGAGACTTGGACGTCTTAATTTTTGGAGGAGCCTCCATACTGTTTCCCACAGCGGCTGTATCCGTTTACATACCTACCAGTAGTGCATGAGGGTATTGTAGCATTGGACACTTGAAACTATATAATTTTTTAAAATATATATTTTTATTGATTTCAGAGAGGAAGGGAGAGAGAGAGAAACATCCATGATGAGAGAGACTCATGGACCGGCTGCCTCCTGCACGCCCCACACTGAGGATCAAGCCTGCAACCAGGCGTGTGCCCTTGACCGGGAATCAAACCCTGATCTCCTGGTTCATAGGTCGATGCTCAACCACTGAGCCGCGCCGGCCAGGCGAAACTATATAATCTTATTAGCCAATGCCACCCCCAGTAAATGTGATATAAACAAATAACTAAAATGAAGTCAGGTACATAAGTCAGGGAAGCATGAGGCCTAAGGTCCCCAAAGAATGAATGTCCCACACGTCTGGAGACACAGAACATCGAGAAGGCCGTGTTCGAAGGCAAAGGAAATTGTAAAACGAGAAAACAGAAAGTTGTCAGAACCATCACCCACTGGGTCATCAGTTCAACCAGTCATTGTCGAGCCCCCCAACTCGTGACAGGCTTTAGGGGAGGACCTGGGTTTTTGGCGATGATCCCAACGGACTGGCTTTTGCTCTCATGACATGCACAGCCCAGAGAGCAGGACAGACATTAACCTAATAACACCCCACCCCCCCAACGTGGGAACTTCCCAGCCGGGGTCCTTAGCAAAGCTGTAAAGGAGAGGAAAGAAAGCCATGGGGGAGCTGGGGGTTCCTCTGGCTCCATGTTCGGGGGGACAGGGCGGCGGGGGGGAGGGGGCGGAGGGGATTTTGCCAGTGATTGGATAGCTAAGGAGTTTGCATTTAACGTAGGTGTATTTGCTCTGAAAAATAAAATAATCTCGCTGTGTCATGTTCTTTCAGGTGAAAAATTTGCGAATGTCAATGTGATCTACGAGTATGACAATAATACTGAAACATTTCATGCAAAAGTAGATGTTGATGGTAAATTGGAATGTCAACCAAATCAGACATGTGGCAACAAAAGGGTCGATGGCCTACCGGAATGCCAAACGATCAATGTTAAAATATCTGATGACTCATGTGCGGATCCACCTAAAACTTTAGAATTACATGTACCACCAGGTAAATACCCATCGATCACTCCTCATCTATTGGTGAAAAGAGTTCGTTTTCCTGTGTGGAGCCTTCCGGGAGCACAGGGCAGAGGGGAGGACGCTGGCCGGACGCTCCCCTAACCGAGTGAACAGTAGGGACCCGTTCACGCCTTCCCCGCTCCCCCTGCCCCTCCCCGCCCTTCTTCTCCTGAGTGGTTCGGGCGGATTGGATCGGACTCACCCCGCTGAGCTATGATCCCTCCACTTCATGCGAGTCATTAATACATACATGTGCATATTTATCCTTTTTTTTTTAAAAAAATATTCAATCCTCACCAGAGGATATGCTTGTTTTTATTGATGAGAGAGAGAGAGAGAGAGAAAGAGAGAGAGAGAGAGAGAGACATTGATCGGTTGCCTCCCGTATGGGCCCCGACTGGGAATCGAACTCACAGCCTTTGGGTGGGTGGACGGTGCTCCAACCACCTGAGCCGCCGGGCCAGGGTGCTCCATGTTTATCGTTTCAAACACACGTGTGTCTGGAGCAAGGTGAAGGGAGTGACAACGGCAAGGGTTGGATGTTTGTGGCAAGAACAGAACTGCTTTCACACAAGGAGAGAGGGTTATCGTCACGTGAGGGCCGTGGAGCAGGTGGTGCTGCTGAGCTGATGCCCAGAGAGGCGCCTGAGGTCCGCCCCCCGCCCCACCCAATGCCCTAAAGCACACCTTTTTTATAAAATTTTTATTGTTGAAAGTATTAACCTATGTCCCCCCTCCCCATTGGCCCCCCCAGCCTGCCCCAGGCCTTCAGCACCTACTGTCGGTGTCCATGGGCGATGCATCTATGCCTACATGTGGTTGATCCCTCCCACCCTCCCTCCCCGCCTTCCCTCTGAGCTTCAGGGCTCCGCTCCAACGAAGCGCATCTTAACGAAACGGGGGTGCACTAGGGGTTTAACCACTTGGTAATTCAATATGATCCGTCAGTTCATGGACATTTATTTAAGGAGTTCAGTCTGATGTTTTCTGAAAAAAAAGTTTTTAAAGGTATTTTCTCTACATAGTACTGAAGTACATGATTCCTTAAAACAGAAAACAGCAATTAAAAAAAAAAAAAAAAAAGACACTCCCCAAGGGGAAGCCCGCATAGCTCTGGGTGATCATCATTCAATAATATTAATAATAATAATAATAATAATAATAATAATAATAAATCAAAGGGTAAAAAAAAAACAACACTGAAGATATAAATACGAAAACAAAATGGGCCGGGCATTCTTTAAAAAATGTGCAAAAATGCAGTTTTTTTCTGGGCGATTGCTTGCGTTCTGTTTTTCGCCAGGAGCACAAATTCTAAATAAAAAGCTACCAAGATGTGTGATGTTAAAAAAAAAAAAAGACAAACAATAATCAAGAAACAAACAAACAAAAAAACACCCCACGTGTAGACTTTTCCCCAAGTGACCTCAGTGCTTGGGAAAGTCCATGTCGTGAGGATGGGGTCAGTGACGAAATACTAATCACCTGTTTCTATCTTCTCTCGACAGGCCCTGGAAATTTCAAGTTAGATGAATGTGTAGACCCGGAAAACGCTGACACTTCTATTTGTTTAGAGTGGACCATAACTGGAGGAATGAAGGGTTGTTTAACAGATAATATTACATACAGCCATCAGTGTGGTAAGAATACAGCATGGATCAGAGAATGTTTTTAAGAAATATGTTTCTATTGATTTCCGAGAGGAAGGGGAGAGGGAGAGAGAGAAACATCCATGATGAGAGAGAATCATGGATCAGCTGCCCCCTGCGCGCCCCACACTGGGGATCGAACCCGAAACCTGGGCACGTGCCTTGACCGGGAATCAAACTGTGACCACTCCCTCCTCCCCCAACTGGTTCCTGGGTAAATGCTTAACCCTGAACCACACTGGCCGGGCCATTAGGAAATTATTTCCTTCCTTCCTTCCTTCCTTCCTTCCTTCCTTCCTTCCTTCCTTCCTTCCTTCCTTCCTTCCTTCCTTCCTTTCTTCTTTTTCTCTGTTTCTTTTTTCTCTTCCTCCTCCTCCACTTTCTTCTTCTTCTTCCTCTTCTTCTCCTTCATCTCCTTCATCTCCCTCTCTCTCTCTCTCTCTCTCTCTCTCTCTCTCTCTCTCTCTCTCTCTCATCGCTTGGAGTCAAATCATTGTACTCTCTACACCACCCCAATTTACAAAATAGACAACCACTCTCCCTGAAAAATAACTTCTGAAATAGTAGACGTCCGGTACGTCACAGCCATTTTCTTGGCAACTGTTAAACACAAGGCGCAGAGAAGGGGGTTATAAGAAAAATGATGACGACGCAGATGCTGCGAGAAGGAGAAGGGAAAGGATCATAAGGTCCCAGGACTCACGCGCTCCCTGGGCCAGCCCCCTCCTCCCCCACCGACATTCACAAGCAAAGAAGCATGAAGAAAGCAGAGACGGTGTTTCTAGGGACATGGATTTGGGTTCCTGTTGGGGGGCAGGGGGAGGAGCAACGATGGAGATGCTGTTGCTCTGTGATGAGTAATGATGGGGCGCCTTCTTAGTCCTGTTTACGGGAATCCATTGAGTTGGCATCTCCCTCCCTTTGCATCAAGCCATCTGGTGGGCCACAGTTGGGGAGACAGACACACACAGAGGATGGGGGTGCCACTGGTGGCCCTCGTCCTGTCACAGGGATGGGGCCGGCTGTGGGGTGGCACACGCAGCCAAAGGAAAGCCAATGGGTGAGAAAACAATGACCTAAAATACCCGTTAGGTGACGGCTGACCGGGGCGGCCTCCGTTCTGAACTGAGAACCAACCGCGAACTAACTCCATCGGCTCCGTCAGGGACGCTCCCGAAATCCATTCTGCTTCCTCCTCTTTTCCTTAAGATCGGGCGTGGCAAAGGGAGGCGCCGTCTTAGTCGTTCTCAGGATCTTTTATGTATCATTTTGACGACTCGCGTGGGTTTTCAATCTAATGGGTGTTAGTTACAAATACGAGATCCCCGAAGAAAGTTAAATGCAATGCATTGTCTTCAGATATTCATAGGCAATACTTACTTCTTTCAGGAAAGTTTACTTTGACTAATAAGAAGTTTGAAAATGGACCCTTTGATCCCCACCATAATTACACTTGTTCTTCAAAAGTGTTCTATGGAAACCATCTCGTTGTTGAAAAAATCCAGACTATTGAAACAGATTTTGGACGTGAGTATATTACATGTACCTGTAATATTTCTTTTCTTTTTATGTTCCCATGATTCTTTGAGGGCCGCAGAAACGGACGGGATAGATTCGGCGAAAGGGTTTCAGAAGACGTCCTTGTCTCTTGTATCAACATTTGAAGTAGAATTTAGAAGTAACTGGCAGGGCGCCCCAACCCTGTCAAGCCTTTTGCTGCCGCCGCCACTGCTGTTGTTGCAAACTCTAGGCGGTTGTGTGCTTGTGGCGGGAACAGAGCGTGAGCTAGTGAGATGCTTGTTCACTCATTGCCCAGTTCATTCCCTTGCCCCCTGAACAACACCCCCTCCTTTTTTTTTTAGGTCAATCCTCACCCAAGGATATTTCCCCATGAATTTTAGGGAGAGTGGAAGGGAGAGGGAAAGACAGAGAGAAACATCGATGTGAGAGAGACACATGGATGGGGTGCCTCCTGTATGCACCCCGACCAGGTCCCGGGCCAGGGAGGAGCCTGCAACCCAGGCATGTGCCCTTGACCGGAATCGAACCCAGGACCCTTTGGTCCGCATGTCGACGATCTATCCACTGAGCCACACCGGCTAGGACCCGGCTAATAATTAGGCAGTGAAACTCGCCACGATACGGTCGGTGGTGACCGTGGGCTGTAGCTCACACCTGATCATATATTTGATGAGATCCGTGCTCGATGGATCCACCCAGTGACTCTGGGCAGCCTGTCAAAGATGATAGATATCCTGTGTACACCCAGCGACCCTCAGACACGGCTGCCACTAATGTGTTCAAGTGGAATGTTGGGCCATGGGACATGTGATTCCGTTGAGTGAGCTCTAAAGCAGATTTAATATGACCAGCTGTCTTTTTAAAAATGTCATGATTGCCTGGCCGGCGTGGCTCAGTGGTGGAGCATCGATCTATGAACCAGGAGGTCAGGGTTCGATTCTGGTCAAGGGCAGATGCCCGGGTTGCGGGCTTGGTCTCCACTGTGGGGCGTGCAGGAGGCAGCCCATCCATGATTATCTGTCATCATGGATGTTTCTATCCCTCTATCCCTCTCCCTTCTCTCTGAAATCAATACAAATATATATTTAAAATAATAAAAGTGTCATTATTAATTCAGGATTAATTAAAACATGGTGATTCAGACTGCATGCTCACAATACGAAGAGTCTTTCCCATGTGGCTTCAGGTTTATATTTTACTAGAAGCCCGGTGCACGAAATTCGTGCACTTGGGGGTGGAGGGGTCCCCCACCCGGCCTGCGCCCTCTTGCAGCCCGGGAACCCTAGGGGAATGTCCAACTGATGGGGGATGTCCATGGGGAGCGGGCCTAAGCCATCAGTCCGACATCCTTAGTGCTGCCACTGAGATGGGAGAGGCTCCCACCACGGCCACTGTGCTCGCCAGCTGTGAGCCTGGCTTCTGGCTGAGTGGCGCTCCCCCTGTGGGAGTGCACTGACCACCACGGGGCAGCTCCTGTGTTGAGTGTCTGCCCCCTGGTGGTCAGTGCGCATCATAGTGACCAGTCGTTCCACTGTTCAGTTAATTTGCATATTAGCCTTTTATTATATAGGATTCTCATTCTTTCCACAGCTCCAGACCTGCCTTCAAATGTTACCTGTGAATCTGTCAATGCAACACATGGAAGGGCTACCTGGAAATCTCCTCAACGTTTTTTTCATAATTATCATCTTTGTTACAATCTCACAAATTCAGGTAATTTGCATAGAATTTAATTCCGTGTCGGGAAAAGGAAATCAGGACTTGGAAAGTGCTAGGAGTGGGTGGAGGGAGTGGACCCCTGGGGCCGTGTTCTAGACCCGCGTCTGCTCACTGTCAAGTAGACCTGGTTATTGGTGACCGGGTGGATTGGCACCTAAAATCCACACAGGAGCTGATATCAGGGGTCCAAGCGTTAGGAGAAAAGGCTGGCTTAGAAATACCGTCCTTCTGAAACCTCACAGCTCATGGCGTTCATGATAGGCCCAGAAGAAAGGCCCTCTTCGCCGTGAACTTCTTAAATAGTGTACGTGCCAAATTTAACCTCTGAAGCCGTGAGGGGTGAACGCTTGAGTTTGTCTAGGACGATGGAATCTGTTCAGTCCAATTGCTGGTCATTGTATGCACTTCTGAACAGCGAGGATGTATTGATTTCTCAGTCCCTCCGTCTGTAGTTGGCTAGAAATCGCTGCGTGTAGACACCAGATGAAATACGTGGTGATCTTGACTTGTAATGACTTAAAACTTTCCATTTTTTTCCCCCTTGAGGTCCCCTAAATTGCTTCAAACTGAATAAAAATAAGGAAGAATATAATTGGGACAATTTGAACGCTTATACAACTTATCAAGTATCAATATACGCCTATGTCATTGGAAAAGTACAACGTAATGGACCTGCTCAGACATGTACATTTGAAACAGAATCAGCAGGTACGTTCTATGTTTTAATGCTTTCTTTTTTCTATGAAAGGCACAGAGCAAAGCATGTGCGTTTTAATACACGGTAGAGCTGTCTTCACGCTTCGTTTGGCAAGGACAATGACCGGCCCATTTCCTTACATCTCGGGGGTATAATCGTTGAAAGCACAATAATTTAAAAACGTTCCCTGGGTTCTCTGTGTTCTTCAGATAGAATCATAAGAATGATAAAACAAAGACAAAAAACACCACGAAGTGTGAGTGAGGGCTTGTCACCGGGACAACGTGTAAGATTTCGGGCCGTAAGGTGCCTCGCCAGCTTAGATTAAATACCCATTGTCTGTGGCTTTCTTTGTCACCCAGAGGAGTAAGCGCCATCGGCACATGGTAGTGTCTCCCTCGCAAAGCATCATCTGGCTGAGCAGTTCCTCAGAAGTATTTTGTCCGCGTCTTATCGTCCATTCGGGGTTTCCTTTCAATGGCCTCTGGCTCTCGCCACCTGTCCGCTGTCTCCATGGTCCCTGGGGCCAGAGCTAGACCCACCCCGAGGGGAACGGTAGCTCCACTGGGCCCTGGCACCCGAGACACGGCGCTCCAGGCGGCATCTGCAGCCCCAGAGGCCCTCCCTGGCGCCGGGCTCGGGAAGGAGGTCTGTCCTGGGCTGGGGTGGCTGTGATGTTCTCAGCGTCCCTGAGCTGGTGGTTGCAAGAGTCCGGGGCCTAGAGCTTCATGTATGTGTCCGGGTCCTGCATTTCTGTGATGTCGCAGGAAACAGAAACCAGTAGCAGCTGCTCCTGAAGGGTCCCGCCTGGTGGGAGCCCCCAGGACAATGGCAGCTCATCCAGGAAGGAGGATGTGGATTGGACGCAGGCCTTCGGTTTCCCAGCATCCTCCCCTCCCCTCCCCTCCCCTCCCCTCCCTCCCTCCCCTCCCCTCCCCTCCCCTCCCCTCCCCTCCCCTCCCCTCCCCTCCCCTCCCCTCCCCTCCCCTCTTCTCTCCTCTCCTTTCTTCTTCTCCACTCTGTCCCTACGGGAAGCCATGAACGCCCAAGGCTTCCAGTACCACCCGTGCGCTCCTGTTCCCCGAATGAAGCGGTGATCTATTTCACACGTGTTGTTACTGTTGTTTTCACGGAAGGGCTGTGGTCACTTTCTCACCCCCACCCCCACACGGACACGTAGAATGGCTTCTGTTGTACACGCGCGTCGAGTGTCAAGTAACGTAGACAGGCATGGACCCCTCGAGGAACCCATCTTTCCTCCTTTCGACAGCGCCCAGCGAGGTCCAGAACATCATGGTGAAGGCCTTGTCCGACAACAGCATGGAGGTAACCTGTGTCCCGCCGGTACAATTCAATGGCCCCGCCAACGGTGACTACAAATTGGATGTCAAAACAGGGGGCACCCTGGTTACAAGTGACTCTAAGAGAAAGTGCAAATTCTACGTGACGGAGCTTCACTACTCAACAGAGTACACCTTTGAGGTGAGACGGCCATTTCTGCTCCCCCTGGAGCTCTGATCCCCGTCGTCACGATGGCTCTGTAGAACTCCCATTACCGAGGCCAGCGCTCACAGGGCCTCGGGAAGCCCTGGGGTCTGACCCCATCACACCCCAAAAGTCTTGAAAGTTTGACCCCAAACTTTTCACCCCTGGTGCTAACAACAGCGGTTTCAAGCCAGAATTTTGTCAGAATATTTTTGAGCTTCAATAGGATATCAATATATTCCCTTTATCTGACTGATCTATTCTAGATCATCATTATGTGCTTTTTATTTTTTTAGTTTAGTTTATACACACACACACACACACACACATATTGATTTCAGAGAGGAATGGAGAGGGAGAGATAGAAACATCAATGATGAGAGAGAATCATTAATTGGCTGCCTCCTACTGGAGATCAAGCCCACAACCCAGGCATGTGCTGTTGACTGGAATCGAACCCGGGACCCTTCAGTCCGCAGGCCGACGCTCTATCCACTGAGCCAAAGCAGCCAGGGAATTGTGTGCTTCTTATGCATAGCTCTTGTTAACACAACATGGACGATATTTCCATCTTAAGTAAAACGCCAAGACATTAGCCTCTTATTAGGGAATCTGACTCTAAATTGTGAATGTGTTGATGTGCTTGCTAGGTTTTATTCCTTCGGTTTCTTTACTCTTGTCAATTATAACTTGCATTATGGCTTAAATGGGCTCAGATTTCTTTATATCTTGTTCACTGTTAAATATATTCTTTTTTAACAATATTTCACAAGATATTGACATAACCTTAAAGTTTCGACTTTAAATTCAAGATAACCAGTATACTCTTAATAAAAACTTAAAAAATTGTCGTATAAGAAATAATGTATATGTTACATTATGATATATACAATTTACATGAGAAAACTATTTTCTCTTTTATCGTGGATATTCAGGTTTACTACCACAATGGGAATCATGGTGGACCACCAAGAAGTGCTTCTAAATCAACATCTTGTAAGTCATCACTTGGCTATTTATTATATTGATATTTTAAAATATATTAAAACTTACCATGCTTAAATAGTTTACATTCATATCATGCCTAACTATGAAACATTTAAATTACATTTTTCATCAACATCGTATTTTAAGTTGCCCCAAAAGATGAGCGTCATATTAAAACACAATCTCTTAAATGCAAATTAAGAAATTCAATGATGAAAGGGTTGTTGATTTCAGAAAATAATTCATAAACGGATTAACCTGCATAGACTATTCAGTGATGATTATATGTCAGATCCTTGTTCCTGTTAGCAACAAAGTGTGTTTGTTTTGTGTATTTTAAACATGTTTTTATTGATTTCAGAGAGGAAGGGAGAGGGAGAGAGAGAGAGAAACATCAATGATGAGAGAGAATCATGGATCGGCTGCCTACTCCACGCCCCACACTGGGGACCGAGTCCACAACCTGGGCACGTGCCCTGACCGGGAATTGAACCGTGACCTCCTGGTTCATAGGTCGATGCTCAACCACTGAGCTGTGTGGGCCGGGCCTTTTTGCCTGTTTTTAAATTGAACTGCCTGTCTTATTATTATTGAATTGTCAGACTTCTTTAATATTCTAGATAAAGTCTTTTGTTGGAAATATGTTTTGCAAATATTCCTAAAATGTCTGTATCGGTTCTGAATAATATCAGCAAAATTCACAACACTGGGCATGTCCTGTGCTTGGTCTCATTCTGAATATGTTGTTGTTGTTGTTATTATTATTATTATTATCATCATTATTATTATTATTGAAAACCTCAAACGAAGTGAGAACGTGATGAAAGTGTCGCACTCTGAAGGTGACGATTCAAAGAATCCGGCGAACTCTGTGCTCTCAGTAACCGCGTGTTCTAATTCGCTTCTAGATAATTCCAAAGCCCTGATCGCATTCCTGGTATTTCTGATCATTGTGACATCCATCGCCCTGATGGTCGTTCTCTATAAAATCTACGACCTGCACAAGAGTAGGTCCAGGTAAGAGTTGATGTCTAAGTGAGAAAAAAAAAAGAAAGAAAGAAATACTAAAATAGTCAGAATGGGGAAGGCGCCCACCGGGGAGGCCAGTTGGGGACCAGGGAAGGGACAAGTGACAAGGCCGCATGACGCCCAGCTCACTGCTGAGCCTGGTCCCATTGGTTTATATCAAATACCAACATTTTCTACGTTCGCTGATGACGGCATGGATCCCGTTCCATGACGACCAATGAAAAGTATATTCATCTCCGTGCCAAGTGGGCCAGAGGGACGTAGGCATGGCCAGGACCAAAGAAAGGTGGGCCCTGGGAAGGCATATGCATGCCCCTGGCCAGGGGCAGCTACATTTTATGAAAAACAAGTGTTTTACACTCAAATAAACCCGTCTCTTCTCTGAGGGGAGCAGGCAGCCCTTCGTTGGTATGTTTTCCTTCCTCATCTTTCCTTTGCCCTCCTCCTCCTTCATCTCCCCCCCCCCTCCCCCCATTCTTCTTCCTTCTCTCCCTGGGCCACTTCCCCGCACCCCTTTCTCTCCCCTTTTTATCTTTTCTGCCTCCATTCCCTCCTTCCTGTGACACATTAATTAAACATGAGTTGCGAGCCAATCGGATGCTACGTTGCAGAATAGAAATGTACCTTTCCTCTTTCCCCAGCAATTTGGATGAAGAACAGGAACTGGTTGTAAGGGGTAAGTTTGCCTTTTTTAACGGATGAATTACGCTCCCCACACATTTGAACCCATTCAGAGAGGAAGGGAGAGGGAGAGAGAGAGAAGCATCAATGAGGAGAGAGAATCATGGACCGGCTGCCTCCTGCACGCCCCACACTGGGGATGGAGCCCGTAACCCAGGCATGTGCCCTTGACCGGGGATCGAACCATGACCTCCTGGTTCCTAGGTGGATGCTCAACCACTGAGCCACGCTGGAATCCATTCATTTTCAATAAGAAAACAACATTTTTTTAATCTAACCCGGACCTCCTCAGTAGAGACGATGACAACGCTTGCATTTACTGACTTAACCAGCAAGGGTTAAAGTCCTAAGATGTAGACGTAAGGATGCGTGTGACCCTCTGAGAGGGAGCCACGCCCCTGGCTGGTCCTGACTCTTCCATCTGCTTCAAGATGACGAGAAGCAGCTGATGAACGTGGAGCCGATCCACGCGGACGTTTTGCTGGAAACGTACAAGAGGAAGATCGCGGACGAAGGGAGGCTCTTCCTGGCCGAATTTCAGGTGAGAAAAGGACGCGTGGCCCAGGCCGCCCCGCTGCCACAGCGGCGGTCGCTGGCGAGGGGGAGACCGCTCTGGTGGAATCTGCCGTGACCGCCGGATCCTGGCCTCTTTCAGAGCATCCCCCGGGTCTTCAGCAAGTTCCCCATCAAGGAGGCTCGGAAGTCCTTCAACCAGAACAAGAACCGCTACGTGGACATCCTGCCCTGTACGTGGGCGCCGAGAGCGGGGTTTCTAGACGGGTGGGCTCCCGGGTTCTTCAGTATTTTTTAAAAAATATATTTTTATTGATTTCAGAGAGGAAGGCAGCGGGAGAGAGAGAGAGAGAGAAGCATCAATGATGAGAGAGAATCATGGATCGGCTGCCTCCTGCACGCTCCCTACTGGGGATGGAGCAGGAACCCTGGGCATGTGCCCTGATGGGAATCCAACCAGGGACCCTTCAGTCCACAGGCCGGTGCTCGATGCGCTGAGCCAAAATGGTTCTTCAGCGTTGACTTGGTTCTTCATCACTGACTCCTGTTTCTGTTCCCCGGGCAGATGACTACAACCGTGTGGAGCTGTCGGAGATCAACGGAGATGCAGGGTCCAACTACATCAACGCCAGCTACATCGATGTGAGTACAACGCCCATGGCCAGGGTTAGGGGACATCTGTCTTCCCCATTCTGTTCTCGGCCCTTTGCCTTCCGTTCCTTCTAGGCCACGGCAACATTTTTGGGTGCAGAGCACAGACACACGCCAGTCATGTCTGTTGTTTGTAAATGCCACCTGACATGGTTAGCCCAGTCCAATGCCTGGATGAGTTATTAAAATCCTCACTGATTGGAAATGCCCAGCGAAATTTACAACCGAGAAACAGTGGCAAAATACCGTCCTTCCCCCGCCCCCCAATTTTGCACATTAAGGAATGACTGGGCATTCAGTTGACAATGTGCCTTTGTTTGTGTCTGTTGCACAGGGTTACAAGGAGCCCAGGAAGTACATCGCTGCACAAGGTAACCCACCGACCATCCCAGATTCTCTGTGAGGCACCGTTTTGGGGCGCGCCAAAGAAGGGGTGTCTTAGGTTGAATGTGTCCCCCTCCTAGGTCCCAGGGAGGAGACCGTGGATGATTTCTGGAGGATGATCTGGGAACAGAAGGCCACGGTCATTGTCATGGTCACTCGATGCGAAGAAGGGAACAGAGTGAGGATCTGATGACTCTGGAGGGGAGAAGGGGTGGGCGGCTGGGAAGAGAGAATGACGGGTCCCATTTCCAAAGGCCACAGTCACCTGCTTGGTGATGAGAGATGGTTCCCTATTTTAATCAGAGGATCACTGGATCGAAACGTTTCATCTACGTATAAAAAAAAAAATCAGATTTGTACGTGTGTACCTAGATGTCCACATGCACCTATATGTAAATAGGAATGCAGTGTCATTGCTTAACTGCTGGACTTAAATGTGATTCCTATTTCCTGTTGTAAGTATTGTTATAAGTTCTATGAGCCCATTTCACAAATCCCTGTAAACACTTGAAACATAACGGAGCTTAGGCCCTGGCCAGTTTGGCTCAGTGGATAGAGCGCCAGCCTGTGGACTGAAGGGTCCCTGGTTCCATTCCAGTCAAGGGCACATGCCCGGGTTTTGGGCTCGATCCCCAGTAGGGCGTGCAGGAGGCAGCCAATCAGTGATTCTCTCTCATCATTGATGTTTCTACCTCTCTTTCCCTCTCCATTCCTCTCTGAAATCAATTTTAAAAAGATATATATATATATGCCTAAGCAACCAACCAACCAAACGACCGGTCACTATGATGCACACTGACCACCAAGGGGCAGACGCTCAATGCAGGAGCCAACCTCCCATGGCCGGCCGGCCCCCATCATGCATGAATTTGTGCACTGGGCCTCTAGTGTATATATAAGAATGTTTCAAAAATCAGGAATGCTTGCGGTTTTGAAAACCAGAATTGTTTGTGATTATTTTAACCTGCAGAACAAGTGTGCAGAGTACTGGCCATCGATGGAGGAGAGCGCCCGGGAGTACGGAGATGTCCTTGTGAAGGTCACGGAGTACAAAACCTGCCCAGATTACATCATCCAGAAGTTCACCATCACCAACGTGAGTTCCTTTCACTACGTCACTTTTGTCTTCGTACTATTCGTCCAAAAATACAATCCTGGAAGATTGAGAATCGACTTATCCCTAAAGCCCACTTGCAAAGCTAGGAAAAAAAAAACCTGTCCTTTTAGTTGATGTTGGGAAGTTTGATTCTTTGAAGATCAATAGGTTTTTAAAAACTGACTTTAGCCCGGCCGGCGTGGCTCAGTGGCTGAGCATCGACCTAGGAACCAGGAGGTCACAGTTCGATTCCCGGTCAGGGCACATACCTGGGTTGCAGGCTCGATCCCCAGTGTGGGGCGTGCAGGAGGCAGCCGATCCATGATTCTCTCTCATCATGGATGCTTCTATCTCTCTCTCCCTCTCCCTTTTTCTCTGAAATCAATAAAATACATTTTTTAAAAAGAAAATAAAAGAAAGACAATGCAACCATGGCCAAAAGAAGCGTGCATAGGGGGAGAGGGGGAGTTAGTGTACGGATCCCCCCTTCCCCTTCCATTTATTTATTTTGCTTTGGAAAAATAAAATCAGCTCAAAGAACATCTTCTCTCCCGACTAGAAAAAAGAGAAGATAGCCGGGCGGGAGGTGACACACATCCAGTTCACCAGCTGGCCAGACCACGGGGTGCCCGAGGACCCTCACCTGCTCCTCAAGCTGCGCAGGAGGGTCAACGCCTTCAGCAACTTCTTCAGCGGCCCCATCCTGGTGCACTGCAGGTGAGGGGCCTCCCGGGGACCCCCCAGGGCTGGGCGGGCATCTACCCTCTGGCCACGGCCACGCCGGGGACCACCTGGGTGCATCCACTCACACTCCTCCCTCTGCTTCACCCCCGTCGCCTTGGCACCCCTTGCCCTGCCGGGACCACGCCTCCCCTGCTGTGTCTCTGTCGCCAGCGCTGGCGTGGGGCGCACGGGCACCTACATCGGCATCGACGCCATGCTGGAGGGCCTGGAGGCGGAGAACAGGGTGGACGTGTACGGTTACGTGGTCAAGCTGCGGAGGCAGAGGTGCCTGATGGTCCAGGTGGAGGTACGGCCTCCCCTTCCCTCTCTGTTCTCTCCTTTGCTGCCTGACCTCCATCTTTGGTGGTGGGATCGGTGATCATTAAAGAGATCCAAATACTGGGCCCGGCCGGCGTGGCTCAGGGGTTGAGCATCAGCCTAGGAGCCAGGAGGTCAAGGTTCAATACCCGGTCAGGGCACATGTCTGAGATGAAATGTGCTCATATCCCAAAGAACCATGAGAACAACTTCTAGAATATTTAAATGTTGGAGATAACGTTTTCTTTTCCGTGCACCGCCCACCTCCCCCCGTGAGCCAAATTAGAGGAAAGTGTAACTATTTCAATGGGATGGATAAGACCGTAGATTCACTCGTGACCTGTGTTTGTCCGTGAAACCGTAGGCACAGTACATCCTGATCCACCAGGCCTTGGTCGAGTACAACCAGTTTGGAGAGACGGAAGTGAGCCTGTCCGAGTTCCACCCCTACCTGTTGAACATGAAGAAGAGGGACCCGCCCAGCGAGCCTTCCCCACTGGAGGCTGAGTTCCAGGTATGGACAGTGATAGCGGTGATGGTGATGATGACAGTGATAACGGTGATGGTGATGACGGTGATGGTGATGATGACAGTGATAGCGGTGATGGTGATGATGACAGTGATAACGGTGATGGTGATGATGGTGATGGTGATGATGACAGTGATAACGGTGATGGTGATGATGGTGATGGTGATGATGACAGTGATAACGGTGATGATGATGATAACAGTGATAACGGTAATGGTGATGATGATGGTGATGATGATGATGACAGTGATAACAGTGATGGTGATGATGATGATGACAGTGATAATGGTGGTGATGATGATGATGATGATGCGTACAGATGACCTCCATGGGGTGCTGCTTCCCGTGCTGTGGGAACCACCCAGCACCTGGGTAGACTCGCTCAAACGTAGAAATCTGATTCTACAGCCAGCGCTGTCCACCATTCCTCACTCAGCTGGTCTACAGCGAAGGCTAAAAGTAACAATAGAGCCTTAGCTTCTGTGGCTCAGTGGATAGAGCATCGGCCTGTGGACTGAAGGGTCCCGGGTTCGATTCCAGTCAAGGGCACATGCCCGGGTTGTGGGCTCGATCCCCCAGTAGGGGGCGTGCAGGAGGCAGCCGATCCATGATTCTCTCTCATCATGGATGTTTCCCTCTCTCTCTGCCTCTCCCTTCCTCTCTAGAATCAATAAAAAAATATATATTTTTAAAAAGTAACAGTGAGAAGCACAACTTTGGCTGCCAAGGCCATGAGCATCTCGCCTTGAAACAGGCGTCGGGCTCTGGTTCGTGGTGCCCCCGGGACCGAGGCCGCGGCGCCCACCGCTTCTGTTTGGTTCCCCACAGAGACTCCCGTCATACAGGAGCTGGAGGACACAGCACGCTGGGAACCGGGAGGAGAACAAAAGCAAAAACAGGGCGTCCTCCGTCATCCCGTGTAGGTGGCTCATGTCGTTGTCTTCTTTGTGTCAGAGACTCGTAAGCTCTTTGGGATTTGATTCGTGGATGACACACGCGCACGCACACAAACGCGCACACATGCACACATGCACACACACATACACACGCACACACATGTGCACACACACGCACACATGTGCACATGCGCTCACACAAGCACACACTCACACATGTGACCTTAAAGCAAGTCTTGAACACGGGGTTGGCAGTAGACTCTGGTCAACAGGATACTTAAAGCGAAGGTCTAGCAATGACTCTGAACCCCAGACGTTCGTGATGGACTTTGGGGGGTCAACTGTGCCCGCTGGTTTCTTCCCACCGATTGTCTCAGAAGTGGGGTGTCGGGGAGGTGTCACCTCTCACGCTCGAGGGGAACGGGGGCCACATTCTCCACCAGGTCTGTCTCACCTTCCGTTCATCTCCGCTATTTCCCCGAGGGTAACTGGCCAAGAGCGAGGATGACTTGCTTTTTCTCCCTCCTTATCGCTGGGGGTGGGTAGCGCCCTGCCAACTGCCAATCCTTCAGTTTCGCAGATCAAACTACGCACAGTTTTCAAGACTTGAATTCCGCCCTGCAAGCGTAGTGCTAGAACCACATCTGGGAGGGCTATAATTTTATTCAGTTGAATATACTAAAATAATAAGCCAAGGAACGTGTATACGACCAAATACGTCGGATCAGTGCAGGGTTGGCCTAGTTCATTTCTGGAAAATTCTTTATGAATGCCGTGGAAAATATGAAATGGACGGGGATGTCGGTCATCAGATCATTTGACCGGGTTATTAAATGGTTTAAAATTGGGAAACTGAGGAGTTAGAACTAAATTTTTTTTATTAAATAGTAATTTATTGGAGATACTGATTCCATTGACATGTTAATTATTTGTTAATAGAATACAGTGGAAAAAAATAGGTTTTTCCCTAAGCCATGTGTTTTATTATCGTATTTTTGTATTTTTTAATGTATATCAAGCGGAATGCTAGTGTTCCATGGTAAACTCAGGTGTAGGTGTTAAGACTGAGTGATCACGTGGGAAGTTATGACCTCTGTGTGTGGTTTAACCTTGAACTATGTCCCAGGTATGTTGCCTGGAACCTGTTTGGGGCCTTCGCTTTCTAGGATTTCTGTTTTGTGATATGCTGATCGATAAGAACCGAGTTTTATGTCAGATCTCAATCCATGTCGATCAACACATTTACATCAGGCGGCCTGTCGCTTCTCAATTGCTTTCCGATTCCACGTGGCCACCAAGCAGAGAGGCGACAGTTTAAAGGGAGGCTTGCCCCTAATTTCTCGTGCGCAGATGACTTCAACAGAGTGCAGCTCAGGCACGAGCTGGACGTGAGCAAGGAGAGCGAGCACGAGTCGGACGAGTCCTCGGACGATGACAGCGACACCGAGGACGCGGGCAGATACATCAACGCCTCGTTCGTAATGGTAGGTGCCCCCGTCTCCAGAGCCCAGAATCTGGCCCTTTAAACATTCAATCGACGTTATTATGGCCATTCTCAAGTGATTTTATTTATTTATGTTTTAAATAGATTTTTATTCATTTCAGAGAGGAAAGGAAAGGGAGAGAAAGATGGAAAAATCAATAATAGAATATTGGTCGGCTGCCTCCTGCACGCCCCACACTGGGGGTGGAGCCCGCAACCCGGGCCTGTGCCCTTGACCAGAATCGAACCGTGACCTCCTGGTTCATAGGTTGACGCTCAAGCACTGAGCCACGCTGGCAGGGCCTTAAGGGATTTTATAAAAGAATGATGAGCTTAGCCACAACAACGATGTTGATTGGCACGAAACTTTCCATTTTTAATACTATATTTTTAACTTATTGAAAGGCCTAAAGATATTGAAACCTTGCAAGTTGTCTTACTACATAAGACAATGCTATTATTACTTGCCGTTTACGACAAACACAACTCTAATGGTATTCATTTGCAAAATAAAATGCGAGCAAGTGCAAGGGTTTGAAAATGGTTGTATTTACTCGGATTCCCACGTTGTAAGCCAATCCAAATCCGCATATTGGCACCGTTAAACACTTTTCACCAGATCCTCCGAATTATTGGGTGCGTCCGTGTCACATGCCTTTTCAATAAACTGAAAATTCGAACAAGAAACCTTTAGTTATTCAGTAAAAGCTTTTGGAATATCTACCAAGTCGGACTTCCTTCCTTCCCAAATTTCCCTAAGGCCCGTGGGTAGACTGTTAACTTAATGGCGAGCCGCCTGAAGACTGTGTAGACACCAATACAGTAGAGACATAACGAAGACCCTGTGAAACGCTTAAGAGATTTCCTTTTACAATCGCATTAACCTTTTTAGAGAAAAAAAACACAAGGCATTTTGGGGAGGATAGCTGGTTAGTTTTGTGAGGGGTGTTCCGAACCTGACTGTCCATGCTCAGCTCAGTAACGCCTTTGGCTAATAGGTCTTTTGCGTATAGATACCACGTTATTTCATGGGCCCGAGTCTCACTATTTTTACGTAGCAGCACTGATATACATAGCAAGCGGCTGTGTTTCCAAAGGGTTGTTTTCAGAACCCACGGCTCTTGTCAGTTAGTAATGGAGCCCCCACTTTTTTTTTTTTTTTAGAGTTACTGGAAACCTGAAGTGATGATTGCGGCTCAAGGGCCCCTGAAGGACACCATCGGGGACTTCTGGCAGATGGTCTTCCAGAGGAAAGTCAAAGTCATCGTCATGCTGACAGAACTGAAGAACGGAGAACAGGTTTGCACGCTTATCTTTCACTAGAGGCCCGGTGCACGAATTCATGCACGGGTGGGGACCAATCAGGAGGGCTGGCCGGGGGTGGGGTGGGGTAGGGGGCGCACATATGAGGTTGGCCGGCAGCCCCGCCCCTGATAGGGGGGTGGGGGGCCAATCGGGGGCAGAGCTGGCCAGGGGGCGGGGCCTCAGGCAGTTGGCCAGCCAGCCCTGCACCCTGGTCGAACTCCCGGTCGAGGGGACAATTTACATATTACCCTTTTATTATATAGGATATGATTTTATTTTTTTAAATACGTTTTTATTTATTTTAAAGAGAGAGAAGAAGGGAGAAAGAGAGAGAAACATCAATGATCAGAATCACTGGTACACCCCACACTGGGGATCAAGCCCGAAACCCCGGCCTGTGCCCTGACCGGGAATTGAACCATGACCTCCTGGTTCATAGGTCAATGCTCAACCACTGAGCCACGCCGGTCAGGCTGTGGGATTTTTAAAAAGAGATATATGTTTACATTTGCAGCAACCTCTTCCTTCGTCTAAATTGTTTCAGCTGGTCAGTGGCCCGGGCGTGCAGGCAGAGCTGCCCATTGTGTCCATCACTGGGGGAAGGTAGTTGGTGGAGAACCATCTGTAGAGAGGACCCACCTCTTCAGTCCGACCCTGTAGATAGATGTCCAGTCAGCGTCTGTTGAGCTGCCAAGGGAGCTGCTCATCAGATGCAGAGACGAAGCTCCAAAGACGTGGAGTGTCTCCTCCGGGGGCCCCGGGAGGGGCAGGGAGACCTGCCTTATGGCAAGGTCATGACCCACAGCAGCTCAGGCCACACATTGGGAAGAGCCGATGACAAGTGCGTGGACGGGAGGAAGGAAGGTCTGACAGCGGAGACGGCAGGGCTGTGCCGTGGTGTCCTGGTTCCCCCGGGTTTTCCCAGGTGCCAGTGGCCCACGCAGGGAAAAACCACGCCTGGGTTGAATGGGTGCCCACCATCCTTAACACAGGTGTTAGAGTTTTACGAGTTTTCGGCCTTCAGGGTCAGAACGCAATTAGTCCTTTCCATTGAATGGAACAGGGGGGAGGGAACGAGAGGAGAGAGAGGGAGACGGAGGGAGACGGAGGGAGACAGAGGACGCTGGAGTAGACGTTGTTGCAGAACCATGTTCTTTCTCACCCAGGAGGCCTGCGCTCAGTACTGGGGAGAAGGAAAGCAAACATTCGGAGACGTAGAAGTTCACGCGAAAGACACCACTGCGTCTTCAGCCTACACCCTCCGTGTGTTCGAGCTGAGACATTCCAAGGTAGATGAACTATTCGTGGGGTGCATGCCTTTTTTAAAAAATGTCTTTATTCATTTGAGAGAGATGAAAGGAGAGGGAGAGAGAGAGAGAGAAGTATCAGTGATGAGAGAGAATCGTGGATCGGCGGCCTCCTGCACGCCCCACACTGGGGTTAGAGTCCACATCCCGGGCCTGTGCCCTGACCAGGAATCCAACCGTGACCTCCTGGTTCATGGGTTGATGCTCAGCCTCTGAGCCACGCCGGCCGGGGTGTAAATCTTTGATGTAAACAACCTGGTGTCCAAATGGACACCAATGACTCCATGAGGGCAGAGCGCCCGTCAAGGTCCCGAGTTCAGAACGAAAGGTTGACACGGTGTCCGGAGAGGACATGGTGTGGAGGGCGTGACTGTGCAATTACTCCAGGGGCTGCCCCCCACCCCGCCCTCGAGCTCACGTGCCCCCCGCTTCCGGTTTTAGAGGAAAGAACCCCGCACCGTGTACCAGTATCAGTACAGCAGCTGGGGCGCAGACGAGCTCCCCTCGGCGCCCAAAGAATTAGTCTCCATGATCCGGGACCTCAAGCAACACCTGCCCAGGAGGAAGTCCGCGGACGGGAGTAAGCACCACAAGAACGTGCCGGTCCTGGTGCACTGCAGGTGGGTGGTCCTGGTTCATGCAGGTGGGTGGTCCTGGTGCACTGCAGGTGGGTGGTCCTGGTTCATGCAGGTGGGAGGTCCTGGTGCACTGCAGGTGGGTGGTCCTGGTTCATGCAGGTGGGTGGTCCTGGTGCACTGCAGGTGGGTGGTCCTGGTGCACTGCAGGTGGGTGGTCCTGGTGCACTGCAGGTGGGTGGTCCTGGTTCATGCAGGTGGGTGGTCCTAGTTCATGCAGGTGGGTGGTCCTGGTTCATGCAGGTGGGTGGTCCTGGTGCACTGCAGGTGGGTGTTCCTGGTTCATGCAGGTGGGTGGTCCTGGCTCATGCAGGTGGGTGGTCCTGGTTCATGCAGGTGGGTGGTCCTGGTGCACTGCAGGTGGGTGGTCCTGGTTCATGCAGGTGGGTGGTCTTGGTTCATGCAGGTGGGAGGTCCTGGTTCATGCAGGTGGGTGGTCCTGGTGCACTGCAGGTGGGTGGTCCTGGTTCATGCAGGTGGGAGGTCCTGGTTCATGCAGGTGGGTGGTCCTGGTGCACTGCAGGTGGGTGGTCCTGGTTCATGCAGGTGGGTGGTCCTGGTTCATGCAGGTGGGTGGTCCTGGCTCATGCAGGTGGGTGGTCCTGGTTCATGCAGGTGGGTGATCCTGGTGCACTGCAGGTGGGTGGTCCTGGTTCATGCAGGTGGGTGGTCCTGGTTCATGCAGGTGGGTGGTCCTGGTGCATACAGGTGGGCCCATCTGTGACAGATGCCTCATCTCCACCTTAAAGAGCGCTATCGGTCGAAGGAGGCCTACGGTCAAATGTTTGCATAAAAATGTTACAATAAGGGAGACGTGGAAATCCACTGAAATGCATTAAGAATTCCTCAGAAAGCCTCACCGTGACGATTAGAATCGCATATTCTAGAATTGAGCCGTTCTCAGCATTTCTTCGGGTTTGCAGAGGTGAAATTTATGGGGGATGCTCTTTTTAATGTTTATTCTGTCATCAGTTTTTCCCATAAAAGGTAGTGTTATTTTTTTAAATTCTTTCTCCTTCCTGTAGAGATGGGTCGCAACAAACAGGACTGTTCTGTGCTCTGTTTAACCTCCTGGAAAGCGCCGAGACAGAAGACGTGATCGACGTTTTCCAAGTAGTGAAATCTCTGCGCAAGGCCAGGCCAGGAATGGTCCCTACATTTGTAAGTACCTCGCTCACCTTGGCTTTTGACGTGTTTTGCACTTTTTATGTTCACCGTGTCTTCCCCTAGCCTCTTCTCCTCCCCTTTTTCTTCTTATTCACTTTGCTATTCCTCTATTTCATCTTCCATTTTTACATGATAGTTCACAGTGAATTATTGGCAATATAACAAGACTAGAGGCCCGGTGAGCAAGATTCGTGCACGGGTATGGGCCCTAGGCCTGGCCAGAGATCAGGGCCAATCTCAGGTTCCCCGCATCCGGCCTCCCCGCCTCCTCCTTCCCTCACTGCCTGTGCTCTGCCACCGCTGCTGGTTGTACGCCATGTTCTGCGCCGCCCCCTGATGGTCAGTGCACATCATAGCAAGCAATCAAACCCCAGTCTCCCGGTTAAACTCCGGAGGGGATAATTTGCATATTAGCCTTTTATTATATGAGATACCTGAGTAGAATTTGCCAGCAATTTGTGGTGGCTCTGCAGAAAGGATATCTCTTGGAAGGGAGAGGGAGAGAGAGAGAAACATCCAGGATGAGAGAGAATCATCCATTGGCCGCCTCCTGCACGCCCCACACTGGGGATCGAGCCCACAACCTGGGCCTGTGCCCTGACCGGGAACCGAACCTGGGACCTCCTGGTTCCTAGGTCGACCCTCAACCACTGAGCCACGCCGGCCGGGCTAGGAGCATTCTTTACCGAATTTCTTTCCTTTTCCCTTGACCAGGAGCAGTACCAGTTCCTGTATGACGTCATCGCCAGCACCTACCCGGCCCAGAACGGACAAGTAAAGAAGAACCCCAACCGAGAAGACAAAATCCAATTCAGTAACGAAGTGGACAGACCCAAACCGGAGGCTAATTGCGTGAGTCCGGTCAGCGCCCAAGAGAAGGTCCAGGCAGAAGGCAGAGAGCAGGACGACCCCAAGCCCAGCAACAGCCCCGCGGGGACAGACCACGCGGCCAACGGCCCCGAGAGCCCAGCGCTGACCCAGAGCGCGTAGGAGGGGCGCGGACCCGGCGGCGCCAAACCTCACTTCCGAGGCGATTTCTATTTTTCTACAAGTATGAGGACAAAGCAGGTGTCCAGTGGATTCGTGGGGAGGGTGGGGGGGGTGCCTTGGACCAGTGTTGGTGGGGAGCTTCTGTTGTGCTACCGCAGGCAATATTTAAGGCAGTTTTGTACAGTCTCCTGCTTATTTTAAAGTTCTGTCTTTCAGCAAAAATAACTTCATGGTTCTTGGCGTGTGTGCTTGTGGGTATGTGGGGTGTTTCTTGAGGCAGAGAGAGAGGTAAGGGGATTTCAAGTGCATCTACGGGCTGGTGGGAAACCTGGATGTATGTCTGTGTTTTTTTTTAAAGAAACAAACAATATTTTTACCCAAAGTATTAGCTTAGAGCATCTATTTTCTTACATCCTAGAATGTGTGCGGGCTGCAAGAAGAACATGTGTGTTCCTACAATGACCTGAAGGTGTCCTCGCTGTTCTATCCACATAGATCTTAACAGTTTGCTGTTTCTCTTCCAGGAATAGGCATAAAAGTAAAAAAGTGTGTTTATCTCCCACAGAAAAGTTAACGCGATTGACATCCGGAAACCTTACATCCCATATGTTAGCAGTTTAGCAGTCAGCGCGGTCTCTTTGGCCGGCTCATCTCAGCCAATTTAAGAATTTCCAGCAAAACCTTCCTTCCTATCTTCACAGGGTTGTTTGCATTTTGGCAAGAGGGCGTGTTCTCTGTCTAAGGTGGGACTTCCATCGCTCGTTTCTTTCCACCCCCCCGATGATACGTGTGTTGGAATGGAGCTTAAAAAAAATATATAAACATCTTTACACAGATGCAGGGTATCTTCAACCCATAGGCTACTAGAAATGGAAATCGTGCGAATGTACTCGTGCTAACTCTTTACAGGTGAAACCTCCCATGGCCGTATCTGTGGACTGAAACTTTGATACGAGCAATAATACTGTGGCCCGGGCGCAGTTCCCGTGTTAAAGGGTGTCTGGATTTCTCAAAGGCTGGCGCTGTGGTCAGGCAGCGGTATCAGACATAATAAAATGGAAACCCGGTCTTTTCCTGTCCTTCACATAGTGCTCCACGTTCATGAATGAATTATATAAACATATCCATAAAACATAGGTGATGCTGTTAACATTTATAGCTCCATGTGCCCGGTGGAAAGGTTTGTGGTGGTGTTTCTTTTTAAGATCTATAGTTTAATCATTACGTAGGTCCTAGGAAAAAAAATGTCAGCTGTAATGATATGTTTCAAAAAAAATAATAATAATAAAGAAAACTCCTTTGGCTAAATCCCGCCCTGTGTTTGGGTTGGCTTGGTTCTCTGTATCTTCTCTCTCCTAACTGAGTTCATTATTTTTATTTAAAAAAAAACATTTCCACGAACGTGTAGTGGACATACAGTATTCTAGCGGCCTGTCTCTTCCCTTTGCCGTACATTCTTCTCAAGTTCCCCTTTCTAATTTTTTTCTTTTATCAGACCCACAACGTTCGCAATGGATCCTGACGTGATTGTCTAGGCCCGTGGTCGGCAGACTGCGGCTCGCGAGCCACATGCGGCTCTTTGGCCCCTTGAGTGTGGCTCTTCCTAAGCCTTAGGAGGACCCTAATGAAGTTCATAACAGTGTACCTACCTATGTAGTTTAAGTTTAAAAAATTTGGCTCTCGAAAGAAATGTCAATCGTTGTGCTGTTGATATTTGGCTCTGTGGACGAATGAGTTTGCCGACCACTGGTCTCGGTCAGTGGTCGGCAAACTGGCCCCTTGAGTGCGGCTCTTCCACAAAATACCACATGCCGACCACTGGTCTAGGCAGGTGTTACTAGATAGATTTTGGAGTGGAGCAACAGTGCCTGCTTTATGTCCATTTTATGTTACGTTTGATTTATTTTAACGCAGGAGCAAGCTGGGGAAAATTTCTTTTTTTCTTCTGCGTAAGAGACGCTGCGTTCAAGGGCAGGAGGCCCATGAACTCTGTGCAAATATATATGAATCCGAATCGGCCAGGATCAACCAGGGCGGCCCCCCCCCCTGCACGCGATCGTGGGACTATCTATGTCTTTGACTTTTATCTTAAAAAAGAAAATGACACGGGAATCACACACCCTTTTAAAGCTTGTTTTACTTTTGGTACCAGAATTCATTGGGACTAAAAGATAGAAAATTCTCAAAGTTCTTAAAATTCAGCCCCCAAGCCATTCCTTTTTTCTCATATAATGCACGATAAGAAATGGCTTAGTTTTTTTTTACAAATATTTATTTTTACAAAAAACATCATTTACAAATAAATATTTGCAGAAAAGAGGTATACGTTCTAATATTTCCTTGCAGATAAAATGTGTGATGTGACTAGCTGAATGTCTGCAATGATCATTTTATTTTATTTTTTATATTTTTTTATTGATTTCAGAGAGGAAGGGAGAGGGAGAGACTCACCTGTCCAGGGCTGTTGCCCGCAATAGAACGAGATCCTAATGCCCAGGGCTGTTGGCCCCCGTAGAATGATCCTCCTGCCCAAGGCTTTGCCTGGATTAGAATGAAACCCTCCTGCCCAGTTCTGTTGGCCCCAATAGAACCAGACCCTCCAGCCCAGGGTCATTGGCCCCAACAGAGTGAGACTCACCTGCCCAGGGCTGTTGCCACCAATAGAATGAGAGCCTCATGCCCAGGACTGTTGCCCGCAATAGGAGATTGTAATGCTCAGGGCTGTTGGCCCCAATAGAGTGAGACTCGCCTGCCCCCTGCTGTTGCCCGCAATAGGAGCTTGTAATGCCCAGGTCTGTTGGCCCCAATAGAATGAGACTCACCTGCCCCCTGCTGTTGCCCGCAATAGGAGCTTGTAATGCCCAGGTCTGTTGGCCCCAATAGAATGAGATTCGCCTGCCCCCTGCTGTTGCCCGCAACAGGAGCTTGTAATGCCCAGGGCTGTTGGCCCCAATAGAATGAGACTCTCCTGCCCCCTGCTGTTGCCCGCAATAGGAGCTTGTAATGCCCAGGGCTGTTGGCCCCAATAGAATGAGACTCACCCGCCCCCTGCTGTTGCCCGCAATAGGAGCTTGTAATGCCCAGGGCTGTTGGCCCCAATAGAATGAGACTCACTGCCCCCTGCTGTTGCCCGCAACAGGAGCTTGTAATGCCCAGGGCTGTTGGCCCCAATAGAATGAGACTCGCCTGCCCCCTGCTGTTGCCCGCAATAGGAGCTTGTAATGCCCAGGTCTGTTGGCCCCAATAGAATGAGACTCTCCTGCCCCCTGCTGTTGCCCGCAATAGGAGCTTGTAATGCCCAGGTCTGTTGGCCCCAATAGAATGAGATTCGCCTGCCCCCTGCTGTTGCCCGCAACAGGAGCTTGTAATGCCCAGGGCTGTTGGCCCCAATAGAATGAGACTCACCTGCCCCCTGCTGTTGCCCGCAATAGGAGCTTGTAATGCCCAGGGCTGTTGGCCCCAATAGAATGAGACTCACCTGCCCCCTGCTGTTGCCCGCAATAGGAGCTTGTAATGCCCAGGGCTGTTGGCCCCAATAGAATGAGACTCACTGCCCCCTGCTGTTGCCCGCAACAGGAGCTTGTAATGCCCAGGGCTGTTGGCCCCAATAGAATGAGACTCGCCTGCCCCCTGCTGTTGCCCGCAATAGGAGCTTGTAATGCCCAGGTCTGTTGGCCCCAATAGAATGAGATTCGCCTGCCCCCTGCTGTTGCCCGCAACAGGAGCTTGTAATGCCCAGGGCTGTTGGCCCCAATAGAATGAGACTCACCTGCCCCCTGCTGTTGCCCGCAATAGGAGCTTGTAATGCCCAGGGCTGTTGGCCCCAATAGAATGAGACTCACCTGCCCCCTGCTGTTGCCCGCAATAGGAGCTTGTAATGCCCAGGGCTGTTGGCCCCAATAGAATGAGACTCACTGCCCCCTGCTGTTGCCCGCAACAGGAGCTTGTAATGCCCAGCTGTTGGCCCCAATAGAATGAGACTCACTGCCCCCTGCTGTTGCCCGCAACAGGAGCTTGTAATGCCCAGGGCTGTTGGCCCCAATAGAATGAGAGCTTCCTGCCCAGGGCTGTTGCCTGCAATAGAAGGAATCCTAATGCCCAGGGCTGTTGCCCACAATAGAATGAGACCCTCCATACAACGCAGTCACCTGTGGCCTGAATCTCCCCGAGTGTGTGCAGGGGTGTGGGTTTCCCCCCTGAGACAGACTAAGCTTTCTCCTTGGGCCTCCCACTCGGTTTTCGTTTGAGAAAGATGACTTCTCAAAGGAAACAAATGATTTTTGTAAATAAAACCTGCCCTGGCAGCTTTCTCTTTGTTGAAAGTAGCATTAAATCGCCGGACGTCAGATTTCTCTTTGATGGAGTCTGTGGGAAGCTAGCGTGGTCCGTTCAAGAGGTCGCCAAATATTTGTTCACAATGTAAATGCAGGAAGTTCAAAAGGGTCAAAATCAGCCCCATCGACAAGTGTCGTCAACATGGCGAGAGCTCACGGAGTTTCTCTCCACAGATGTTGAGAGTGTTTTCAGTTCGATGCTTCCCGTCGCTCAGAGGATATGCGAATGTCCGAAATAAAAGGAACCTGATATTTATGCAATTTAAAGGAAGAGATTAACTCTGTCTAGCACGGCAAGACAGCACACGTGGTCGGCTATTCATGATTTCATGTGATCCCGTGGAGATTTCCACAGAAGATATCTTTTCGGGAATATTACCAGACACTGGTGTTTTGGGATTTCTATGGAGCGTCAATAGCACTGGGCAGAGGGTCTCATTCTATTGGGGCCAATGACCCTGGACTGGAGGGTCTCATTGTATTGAGGGCAACAGCACGGAGCAAATGAGTCTCATTCTAATGTGGGCAACAGCCCTGGCAGGAGGCTCTCATTTTATTGTAGGTACAGCCCTGGGCAGGAGGGTCTCATTATATTGCGGGCAACAGCATTGGGGCAGGAGGCTCTCATTCTATTGGGGCCAACAGCCCGGCACTAGGATCTCATTCTATTGCGGGCAATAGCACTGGGCAGAGAGTCTCATTCTATTGCGGGCAACAGACCTGGGCAGGAGGCTTTCATTCTATTGGGGCCAATAGGCCTGGTCTGGAAGGTCTCATTCTATTGTGGGCAACAGCACTGGGCAGAGGGTCTCATTCTATTGCTGGCAACAGCATTAGGCAGGTGAGTGTCATTCTATTGGGGCCAGTAGCCCTGCACATTGTGTACCGCATAGAAACCTCTAAGACAAATGCCAGGGACCGCACGTTTTTGGGCAAACTGCACGTTATTTAAATCATCATGATGCACTTTAGGTGTTGTTTTTCAATAATTATAACATTTTTATTTACAAAAACAAACAATTAAAGTTCCTAGTACTTTTTAAACGTATGGTGCTGCGTAAAACATTTTCCTCTATGAAGAGGGACCAAACAAAATTTACACAAGTATCTAGATTCGTTCCTTTTTCCATGGGCGTGAAAAAACGAGAACACTCGTGAGCGGTCCTTAACAGATGGCGCGCGAAACACGAGAAAACTCCTGAGAGGTACGAAATGTGTGGGCAGAAGGCTCTAATTCTATTGGGGCCAATAGCCCTGGGTATTAGGATCTCATTCTATTGCGGGCAACAGCCCTGGGCAGGTGAATCTCATTCTATTGCAGGCAACAGCACTGGGCAGGTGAATCTCATTCTATTGCGGGCAACAGCATGGGGCAGGTGAGTCTCATTCTATTGGGGCCAACAGCCCTGGGCATTACAAGCTCCTATTGCGGGCAACAGCAGGGGGCAGTGAGTCTCATTCTATTGGGGCCAACAGCCCTGGGCATTACAAGCTCCTATTGCGGGCAACAGCAGGGGGAGGGTGAGTCTCATTCTATTGGGGCCAACAGCCCTGGGCATTACAAGCTCCTATTGCGGGCAACAGCAGGGGGCAGGAGGCTCTCATTCTATTGGGGCCAACAGCCCTGGGCATCACAAGCTCCTATTGCGGGCAACAGCAGGGGGCAGGAGGCTCTCATTCTATTGGGGCCAACAGCCCTGGGCATTGCAAGCACCTATTGCGGGCAACAGCATGGGGCAGGAGGCTCTCATTCTATTGGGGCCAACAGCCCTGGGCATTACAAGCTCCTATTGCGGGCAACAGCAGGGGGCAGGCGAGTCTCATTCTATTGGGGCCAACAGCCCTGGGCATCACAAGCTCCTATTGCGGGCAACAGCAGGGGGCAGGCGAGTCTCATTCTATTGGGGCCAACAGCCCTGGGCATTACAAGCTCCTATTGCGGGCAACAGCAGGGGGCAGGCGAGTCTCATTCTA